AAGCAGAAAAACAATCATGGCGGACGATAATACAGAGAGAAGTATTTATGTTTAACCCTTTTAAAAAGATTGAGTTTTTAACATTGTGAAAGATCGCTAGAAGAACTCCACATGTATTTGGAAATGTGAACGACAACGCAAAAAAAATTGGATTTCACAAAAAAATCGAAATGGAGCATTAAGGCCTGCAGTGTGAATGTAGCCTTTTCCACCCAGCATCAGGTTTTCATTGTTTTAATGCTTTTTCTGAACTGTAATTCACATGAAAATACATAAATATCTCTGTAATTTTCCATAATTGCATACACAATACCCAATTAAACAAAACCAAACCATATCAGCTCAGAGGGTCACTGGTTGCTTGGAGGAGCCTTTCTAGAAGCAATGTTGTTGCTTCAGAGCTAAAAACGATGCTGAACTCTTGTTTGCACACATTCAGTTCTCTGTTTATGAAACTTTACACAGAAATACAACTTTAGAGCTTTATTATGGAAAACCCTCCCAGAACACTTGAGACAAACACTTTCACATTTGAAATCGGAAACTACTTTACATCTTTTGGACACTGAAGCTTTGGAATCAAATTAAGAAAAGATTTAGTTCAAATTCGGACCCATGCTTGTTCACATATATGCTATGGTTTACAATACCAAACATATAGAACAACTGTTTATCTGAAATTCCTGTACATGTCTGAAGTTCAGGCTTTTTTTTGCAATCTGGTGAAGAGAAAAAGAAACACAGCAGACAGTAGATTTCCAGTTTCATGAAGGTCTTTTTTATCCAGACAGAAATACAAATTCAGCAGAATGTAAAGATGATCAAATGGCATCAAAGTTAAAATCAGTGGAAGGTCCATGTTTGTTGAAAAAGTTTTTTCTTTCCAACACTTGCCGCTACCAAAGGGTGGTCATCAGTCATGGGCTTGTGGTGCTGCTCCTGCAGGGGAACTGAACTCCTGTGATCCGGAGCAGAACAGTCCTTTGTGCCGAACTTCAACCTGTGTCCTGACACGAAGCTCTCCCTCGAGGATTCCCAGACTCCGAGTCACAGCGTCACTGCAGGCGAGGCCAGTACTGTGACATTTCTGCTTCACTTCCAGGAACTTGGACTGGAACCGAGATCCCAGGAGAAATCAGACCTGCAAAAACCAAACAAACCAAGTTTTAGGAAAACTCCTCGCTAACATGTTGGTTCCAGATCTTTTAAATGACCAGGCTTTCCTACCATTCGATTAAAACAATATTATGCATGAAGATAACATAACTAAGAATTAGAACATCATTAAAAGTTTGAATTTCTGTCACTTGTTTTTCAAAGTGATGCGACTGGAAAAAACTGAACACCTTCTGGTCACTTTTCTAGCAATCTACTACTGACTCAGACTGAGAGGCTGAGGAATGCTGGATTCAGTTGCAGATTAGGATGCAATGCCAGGAGGTTCCAATACTTTTATCTCATATGCCTTGTTCACAGCAAAGACTGTAGGGGAGTAAAACATTTGCAAATGTAGAAATTCCAATGCTGGATCAGACTGTGGTCAAGCGGCTTTGACGCTTCGGCGCTCTTTGGTATTTCTTGTTTTCCCTCTGCTGCTCTCTCGTGTCAGTCTCCTTTACCCTAGCTCCCTTCTAGACTCCTCTCAACACACCTGCTCCCAATCTGCTGATTAGCCTGGTCTTTGTTTCTCTC